AAAAATGGCGTTTAAATTCAAATAGCCTTAGTATTTTTAATATATTCAAATGGGTTTTTTTCTCACTTTTATAATTTACCATTTAGCCGGTAAAAATCTTACCGTAGCCTCTCTTTTTCGTCGTGGTAGCGCATCGAACACTGCCACTATGTTTGCATTTACGCACACCATGTTGTCAATAGGTTTCACAGGCGAAACATTTCCACTTCCGCTAAAAATGTTGTTTTAGACTTATAGACAGCTTACTGTGGTGATTATAAAGGCACTTTACCTTTTGGGCTTAACAGCTACTCGTAGTATGTTATTCTGGACTATCCACTCAATATCGTAATTCTTATAACCTTTTTCGGCCATTTTTTGCTTAAGCTTTTGTAGGCGCGGATTCACTTGTCGTTGTATTGCCTCAGCGATCTGGAAGTCTCATTTGGAATTTGTAACTTTAGCACCATAAGACCCTTACCTTTTCTGGAACTTTGCTGTTCACCATAGATCTGACCCTTTTCTGTACTTCACTTCTAAGAAAGTTTAATTTTCTTAGATTGTCGGTAAAATCAACACGAACATTTGAGTTCATTGTTACAGTAGGAGTGAAACTGAAGTCATTCCATGTCAATTTAATGTCCAGTTCCGCACTTTCAGACTTTGCTCTAAATTGGAAAAAGAAATGATAAAGTAAAGACAATTTTGGCTTAACTTACTTAATTTCTCCACTCATACGTGCTATACGCACCCATTTTCCAAACACTTTCTTACCAATCTCTATCCTGCCTCTGACACTAACACGAAATTGCACATTCTTCATCTAAAACTCAGATCTTATTTAGTATTTTAAAGTTAGTCAAAGGATTCGTTTACTCACACTTAAGTGGATTCCATTGTTCATATCTTGGAAAGAAACTCCAGTTTTGGGTACAGTAAAGTGTTCGATTTTTCCATCCCAGACGCGATACTTGATCAAGCTTTTCTAAAGGAAAACGTTTAAATTAAGTTTTTGTAGCATCGTTTGTCCTAGTCTGAGTACTGCCATAGGCACTTTAAAAGAAAAAAATCCACTATAAACTAAGAGTGGATCATTGCTCATGATAAATTGTGAAAGATTGGTACCCTTCCGCTGAATTCTGGAAAAGTGATCGATTTCAAAGCATTGTTGATAATATCTGCTTTGGTTTCAAGGAGATTCCAGATTTTTGGCGAGATGGTCAACGTGATCGGTTCGTCCACATTCAGTTTCTTCTGTTCATCGCAACTAAAATTCATTAATAAAGCTCAAAAGTGATTCTTTCTTCCAGATTTAACAAAAAAGCATAGAGAGATATATACGGTAAATTGAGTGAACAGCAAGAAATTTTCACTCAAGAAATTTTTCTCTATAGAAGTAGCGTTATTTTCCTAACAGAACAGACAGGCCACCAAAAACTTGTATGTTGTATCTGGAAAAGATGCAAAGGTATTTTAGAAGTCTGTATTTTCATTGTTACGTAAAGTCTTGTAATATAAAGAATCTGAAAATCTTTAGAGCAAAATTTGTAATGTTAAAAAATTAAAAAGAACTTACGTGACAGAAGCGAGAAAGAGAGCAGATGCTAGCAAAAGAAGAGGTTGCATGTCTTCCGAGCAGAAATACGTAATTGTTGATTTTATACAGAAATTCCCGGAACCTACGTGACCTACATGTAGGTGTTTGTTAGAAAAACGTGGAACTGATCAAATAACGGTAATGAGTCACAGTTGAGAAATGCAGTCTACAATCTGCAAATGAATAAGTTTTTGGTAAATTCCTGCAAAATATCTGAAATGGAAAGCTGTTTGCACATTTAATGAAACGTGTGCAGAGGATTATAAAATAATGAGTATTAAAAAAATCTTGTAGGCGAATTCATTACATATGACTCACTTTGCTGCACTCTCTATGGTCATAAACAATTGTTTTTAGGAAATACGTAGTTCAGTGCTCAGAAGGGTTCTAAATATATAATAGTATATA